GAACTGGCATGACTAGTGTCCAGCCTCTGTGGTCTTCTAATGCTCATAATTGCACTGTCATAAAAACAGCCTAATCGTGTGACTATTAAGTGAGTAAGTTATCTGCCTAGCTCTGTTTTTTAACTGTACTTAGTTTTGTACTTATATTTATTTTGTAATGATGAACCCTGTTTAGACACTTGTTTGGAGAAGTCACTTAGCCTATTTGAGTCTTATCATTTAACAAATATTTGCACTTATCATATGTCAGATATTGCAAAGTTTCATTTTCCTTATTTATAAAGTAGGAATAATATAATTCCTGCTTCAGCTTCAGAGTTGCTGTGAATATATAAAAAATAATATATGTGCTTGTGAACAGTAAATATAAGTTGTTACACTGGAATATTGTTGCATGCTTCAAACATGCTTATTACTTGGATTCTTCCATTGGAAGCCTAGGTATGCAATGTATATTCCTTTCAGGGAGAGTTGGTACATTATGAAATAGTTTTGGATTTCCAGGATAACTGACAATACTAGACTGTAGATTGACATCAAAGCTAGAAAGGCCTAGTTCATTCCTGGCTCTAACTATGTGATATTAAGCAAATTTCCTTATCTTTCTGACCCTCAAATTTTCTATTTTAAAAGTGAGGATAATTCTGCAAGGTTGTAAGGTTAAGGTATATATAAAGTACTTTGCATTACCTGGCATATAGGATGTATTTTTGTTTTGTAAGGTAATGAATAGAGAAGGAAACCTTATCAAACTGATGAAGTCATCATTATGAAATGGAGAAAGTACCTTGGAGGAGAATAGTGCTTGTGCTGGCCATCTTTCTGTGCTTTTACTATTTTTTTTTTACCTTCTGAAATGGGTAAATGGATGAGGACTTTTATTTTAAAAGTCTGATTGTAAAATTAGTGGTTTCTTAAAGTGCTTATTAACTTGTCTCTTTCCCCTGTAAGTTATGACATAGTCTTATTAAAATAGTGACAAAAATAACTATGATTGATAAGAAATAACTAACTTGATATGTATGTCTGCTTTTAATACAAAAGCAAATAAATTCCTGTAAGTGGTATAAATGAAGTGGTGAAACATGCTTTATGCTTTACTCTTTGAAAGGTATCATTTGCTCCACATAGAAAAATATCATTTCTATTACTTTGTACACTCAAAATCATTCAAAAATATATCTTTGACTATTGTAATTGATGAGATTTGAAAAAATGATGACAATTTTTAAAAAAATATATCTTTCTCTAGTTGAATTTATAAGGGAAGAGAAGATTATCAGAGCAGATTTTTGGTCAATGAAAAAATACAGCCGAAACCGGTTTGGCTCAGTGGATAGAGCGTCGGCCTGCGGACTGAAAGGTCCCAGGTTCGATTCCGGTCAAGGGCATGTACCTGGGTTGCGGGCACATCCCCAGTAGGAGGTGTGCAGGAGGCAGCTGATCGATGTTTCTCTCTCATCGATGTTTCTAACTATCTCTCTCCCTTCCTCTCTGTAAAAAAAATCAATAAAATATAAAAAAAAAATACAAAAATAAAAATCCTATTTCTGTAAGTGTGGAAGGTTTAAAATTGCTGGTTATATGGTTTCATTTGTCCCTATAAGCCTAACTTACATATACCATAGTTATCCCTTCAATATTGCTTCAGTGGAGTGTAAAGTTATTTACACATAGTATGTATATTATTTACTGCTTCAGTAAGTTTTGGCCATTAAGCTAAATTACTGTTCATTGATTTGACGAAAACTGAGGATATGACAAATTCTTTTTAATTTAGATACTGTGATGAAGGTTTTTGGTGAGAACCTATCCTATCTAATAAAGAAGGAATATGCTAATTGGCCATCTTGCTGTCACAAAAGAAGGCGGCTCCCACAGCCAATGAGGGAATATGCTAATTGACTGCCCCACCCTCAAAGATGGTGGTGCTCACAGCCACAAGATGGCAGCGCCCAGTCCCCTCAGGCCCGTCTGGGCAGCAGGTGCGCAGCAAGGCCAGGCCTGGCTGCTCCGCCTGCCTGCCTCCGAAGTCCCCCAGTCCTCTCAGCCCCCCATCTGCCCAGGGCCGGCCCGAGGCGCAGGCAAGCCCCAGATGTCGGCTGCCCAGCCGCCCAGGGCCGGCCGAGGCTTGCGCTGCTGGCAGTGGCAGCAGCAGAGGTGTGATGGGGGCGTTGCCTTCCCCTGATCTCCGGGTTGCCTCCTGCCCCTGAGGACTCCCGGACTATGAGAGGGGGCAGGCCGGGCTGAGGGCCCCCCTCCCCTCCAGTGCATGAATTTTCATGCACCGGGCCTCTAGTTGGTATATAAAACAGTTCAAGATGGGTATTTCAACTTAGATCAGTAAAAGGCCACTATATGATTTTGCTTTTATAATGTCTTGAATACATTTACAGATCCCTCCCGCTGGGAAGATGGCTACTTGGTTAGAAAAGAAGGTTACATTGTGTTTTCCAGTCCATAATGCTAAGTTATAAAGGTTTCCTTGATACACACTTGACCAACAGAGTGGTTTAAGGTATATAAAAAGATGAACCCTCAAGAAATAGCTTTTAAATCCAAGAAGTGCCTAATATTCTGTAGCAAACTAATCAGATTTTCAGTCTTTTCTTTCTCATTTGACCCTCATGAGGCAAGAGAAACCACCTGGTAGATATGACTGAAGTAGTTATGCGCAAGGCTGTTGTGTTTGATGCCTTAGTGGTCTTTTTTAGCTTACTTTATTTGGGGACTACTGCTTTGTACTGTAGTAGTAAATTCCCTTGATCGTCTATAGTTGTTACTTCTAATACAGAGTGGATTGTGATATTAGGAAATTAGCAAAGAGCTTGTCTATATTCCCACATGACACGATTTTTGAAGAATCTATCACTTCTTTTGGAATATTACAATGCTTTGAAGTACAGCAAGCCCTTGAATAATGTCATTTTGTTCAATGTTGTTTTGTTATAAAGTTGATGAGATGCTATAGGAACTTAACTCTTGTTTATATCAATTAGCTTATGATAAAATTGGTTTGTTATATGTTGTTTCCTTAAAATCACAGAACAACGTTAAGTGGAGGCTTACTGCACTAAGTTGATAAATATACTTGAATATTGTAAAGGTGAGATAGAAGATATTTTCTTAATGGCTTATAATGCACTTTTATTCAGGCTGTTGGTTTCAGGAGGGAACAAGAGTATCTTCAGGGCACATTTTCTTCTAAGAGAAGTACAAGGTATTTGTATTATCAAAGTTTATTAATCCATTGTCAAGGCTGGGGTGATTCATATCGGTAAATTTTTAAAATGGCACTTAAAGTCAATACTACTCATACAAGCCAAATGGATGTGTGAGTGTAACCTTTTTTGTTTTTCTGGAAGTCATTCAAAAACATAAAGAAGCATTTTCATTATGTTTAGGTTCTGAAATGTTTATGTTCTAGTTCATAGGTCCAGAAGGACACATCATACATGGGATGACTAAGTTCATCTCTTGTGGACTAAGACTAACTATGTGGTTCTGGTTGATTAGCATGCATGGAAACTTTTAGATTGAAAGTTTTTAATTAAAGAAGTTGGTGTCTGCCTTACTGGAGGCTACCAACATTGAACTTTTTAAAAATGATGATTGTGCTCCCCAGGTAATAGTAGCTACCTAATTGTGAATTATACTACCCTTTGGTAATCTTCTGTTCATAATCTTTATAGCATTTCATAATTACCTACTGCATTTCTTCTTGAAATGCTGTTCTTCCTGCTTCTTTATGCTCCCGTAGTTTCTCTGTTTCTCTCTCTGTTTTGTTCTCTGTTCCTCACTGGTTGGGGGAAGGGAAAAGGCCTACATTTAAGAGACAGAAGACAGTAAGGAGGTAAATGTGGATATTCTCTGATGTACTAAGAGCTTCTTTTCTCCTTTTCCATCACATCTTGTCATCTAGTCACTTTAACTCACAGTTTTAACTGTTGCCTCTCTAAAGATTGGAGAAGCTTGGGGGCCTGTTAACACTTAGGGCCTTGGGCTCAGTTACTTTCTTGGTGCTTTAGTCCTGGGTATATGAAAAGTGGTCAAATACAATTTCCAGATTTTTCATGCTAGTTGGTAGAAAGCACCTCATCTCTGTCAGCTGTTTTCTCATTGACTGGGCAAGGCATATAAATAGTGAAATTGCTGTAGATCAGTGATTACAAAGAAATTCTTTCTCCAAAGTAGTCTTAACTCCTCTTTTAGTATTACCAGTCACCTAGGTTTATGACTTTGGCTGTTGAACTTTTCAACCCTTTAGCTTGTCATCATGACCTGTTTGCCTTTGAAAGTTTCCCCAAATCTCCTCTGTCCCAGTCCAGGCCCTTGTTTTTCTTCCTTGTTACCATTGTACTCTTTGTCATAAAAGTATGGAACACTAATCTTTCCTACATCTTGAAATTACTGTGCTCCTCCCTTAATGAGAAGTCTCCTTTATTATTTTCTGCTACAGTAGATATCAACCCCTGTATCTGATTTTCAAGGGTATTGTACTCACTCTTCTAAGACTTTGGTTTTTTCATTAACAATCTGGCTCCAACTTCATCTTCCAATACACACTACATGAACTTCCATAGTCAGGTTTTGCTACTGACTTACTTCTTCCACAGGAATCATTCTGTTTAAGTGCGCTTTGCCTTTTTCCTGCCTTCTCTCTAAATCAGTGGTTCTCCACCTTCTGGCCCTTTAATTATAGTTCCTCATGTTGTGACCCAACCATAAAATTATTTTCGTTGCTACTTCATAACTGTAATGTTGCTACTGTTATGAATTATAATGTAAATATCTGATATGCACGATGGTGTTAGGCGACCCCTGTGAAAGGGTCATTTGACCGCCAAAGGGGTCGCGACCCACAGGTTGAGAACCGCTGCTCTAAATGTTTGTAGTTTACTTTCTATAAGTCTTACAGTACTTGCATCATATATCTTGTGTGCTCATTTTTCATGCATGGTCATGAAGCTCTTGAAGGACAGAATATGCCTTTGAATTCCCTACAGGTCCTACCTGGTTCAGCGCTTCCATCCCCATAGGTTCTCATCCAGATACTGCCATAACCTTGTGGAGGAATAGGAGGATATGTTCTTATACGTGATAGGATTGTGATGAATGTGTAGAATGGAAAGGTGAGTAGATGCTCAGCCTGGTGAGGTAAAACTTTGCAGTGGCATTGCTTTTACAGTGGATTGGTTTGTCCTGTACTAGGTGTACTGGTTAATAATGGTGGATTTTGTAATCAAAGAAAATATGAGATAATATCAAGAGAAACATCAAAAGTGCTTTATTCAAAGTAATGTCCATCGCTAGCTACACATTTTCCCCATCTTTCAGGTAATTTGTGGATACTGCCCCAATAGAGCTTGCTTTGAGGCAAACCATTCAGAGACCCAATTTTCCACTTCTTCGTACGTTTTGAAGTGCTGCTTAGAAAGTGTATGTGCCTTCGATCGGAACAAGTGGTAACCTGAAGGAGCAAGGTCTGGTGAATACAGCGGGTGGGTTAATACTGGTGAATACAGCGGGTGGGTTAATACTTCCCAGGCAAGATCTGACAACATGTCTTTAACTGGTTTTGAAGTGTGTGATGGTGTGTCATCATGAAACAAAATTACTTTGCCGTGTCTTCTGGCACATTTGGTCGTTTCATGATCAAAGCGTGGTTCAAATAGATTATTTGTTGCCAGTAGCGATCAGTATTAACGGTTTCACCTGGTTTTAGAAGCTCTTAATACACCACACCTTCCTGATCCCACCAAATGCAAAGCATTGTCTTCTTCCTGAAGCGATTTGGCCTTGCAGTCGATGTTGATGGTTGACCTGGGTTAACCCATGATTTTGTGCATTTGGGATTCTCAAAATAAATCCACTTTTCATTGCCAGTCATAATTCAATGCAAAAAAGACTTTCTTTTGTGCCATTGAAGCAACATTTTTAATGATGACTTTTCGGTTTTCCATTTGTCTTTTGTTCAGTTGATGTGGCACCCATTTTCCTTCCTTTAAAATCTTTCCCATTGCTTGTAAACAATCGGAAATTGTTTGCTGAGTAACGTTTAATCTTTCTGCAAGTTGTTTTTGAGTTTTACCTGCATCTTCATCCAATAATGCTTGTAATTGTTGGTCTTCAAACTTTTTCGGTTGACCTGGACGTTCTTTGTCTTTCACATGGAAATCATCACTTTCAAAGCATTTAAACCAGCGTTCACAAGTATCTTGAGATGGAGCATGTTCACCATAAGCTTCCCGAAGTATTCAGCAGCACTTTTCTTCAAAATAAAGCAATGAATTAAAACTTCCTGCAAATGCTCTTTTTTTTGGCATGAAATTGGATATTTTTAAGCACAAAAATATATATGATGTTAATACCTTAAGCAAATTTGACATATGAAGTTTTCAAGCTTGCTGTCAATACAACAAAATAGCATACATATCAAATCACATATATATCAACATATGTGTAACTCCATCTATTGAAAAATATCCGCATTATTAACTTGTACACCTAGTAAGCTTCCTATCATAGCAAGTGTTCAATTGGAAACTAACTGACCATCCTGCCAGTGATGCTGCAAGAGTCCTGCACGAGGGGGCATTGTCACATCCTATCCTTCCTATATAATAAAAGCCCAGCAACCGAACAGCAGAACAACCAGAACGACTGGTCGACCAATCACTGTGACGCACACTGACCACCAGGGGGCAGATGCTCAACTCAGGATCTGTCCCCTGGTGGTCAGTGTGCTCCCACAGTGGGAGCAGCCGCTTGGCTGACTGGGATGAGCAGCGCTGCCATAGCGGGCCGATCCCCACAGGCCATTCCCCCCACCAGTGCACAAATCCCGTGCACTGGGTCTCTAGTAGTTAGATAAACTAATGCCCTTTCAATTTGGTAATTCTAAATAACTACTGTTTTGACCTAATAAAGTAGAGGCCAGAAAGGTTGATAGGAACTGAGGGATTGACCAGGCTAATGGTAAGTTAAACAATAATATTGATAATTAATAGCTTAGTAATCTTTATAGTTTATGGTCCTATATTTCAGTGTTCTCTTTAGAGCTTATGTTGAAAATAAAATTTGAAGTTATAAAATATATCTTTGTGGTCTTCATATTTGATCATCTATTTGACTACTGAGAGAATTCAATTTAGGAGACTGTCTAGCCTACATAGATTCTTTATCTGAAAACTTTATTATTTTGAATTACTAAAAACAAAATGTTCATTGGAACTGCTGCATTCATTTCACTTACTGATAAATAGGAAAATTATGCTCATTCCACAACAGTAGAGGTTATGAACTTCAGTTGATTGAGACTTGCTTTTTTCTCCCTTTTTAAATAGAAACCAATGGTGTATTTTCTGTATTCATTCTCTTAATTTGATGGTGAATTGATTTATCATTTCTTTAAATGCTAGTTTGTCCTAAGGCAGGTCAAGTATTTTAGTATTTTTCTTAAGTTGTTTTTTTTTTAGGGTTTTTTTATGTTTTTTTTTTGAGGGGGTGTAGGGGTTGGGAGGCCTCTAGAATTCTTGATGACTTAAAACAAATTATTCTCTATCAAATTTGGAAACAAAAAGTCTGAAATCAAGGTGCTGGCAGGGCCACTGTCCCTCTGAAGGCTGTAAGGCAGAATCCTTCTTTGCCTCTTCCAACTTCTGGTGGTTCCTGGCATTTCTTGGCTTATTTATAGACACATCATTTCAATTTCTGCATCCATCTTCATTCATTATCTCCCCTGGATGTCTCTGTATCATCTCCTCTGCTTGTAAGGGCACCCATCAGTGGATTTAGGACCTAGCCTAAATCCAGGGTGGTTTCATCTTGAAACCATGAACTAATTACATCTTCAAGAACCCTATTTCCAAATGAGGTTACATTCAGAAGTTCTGGCTGACATGAATTTGGGGGGACCGTGTTCAACCCACTACAGCCGATATGCTCTTTTACTCCAAATCTATATTTACATAGGACTGTAGGCAGAAAGAAATAAGCTATTTGTGTGCATGTGCATACATCTGAAATATTATTCCTTAAACTATAAAATAATAAAAGTAGGGAATTAAATACTTTTGTTGCATAAAGGTATTTAGGAAAGTAACTATTTGCATTGATAGTGAAATAAGGAATAGTACTTTAAAAAATATACTTTGTTTTTTAGAACAATTTTAGGATCACTGTGGTATTAAGTGCAAGGCGTACAGAGATTCTCTGCACCATACACATGCATAGCCTCCCCTATTATCAATATCCCCTATCAGAGTGGTACATTTGCTACAGTTGATGAGCCTACATTGACACATACTATTACCCAAAGTACGTAGTTTACATTAGGATTCATTCTTGATGTACATTCTGTGAGTTTGGACATGTATTTACTATTATAATATCAAAGTAGTTTCACTAATCATTTTACTATCTCCATAGTTTTGCCTTTTTTTCTCTCATATAATGTCATATTGTTGGAAACACGGTATGTAACTTTTACAGACTGATTTTTCTCACTTAGTCATAGGCATTTCAATTTCCTCTGTATCTTTTTATGGCTTAATAGCTTATTTCTTTTTAGTGCTGAATAATATTGCATTGTATGGATGTATCACAGTTTATCTGTTTGTCCATTGAAGGACATCTTGGTCTTGAAGGACTTATTGCCTTGGCAATTATGAATAAAGCTGCTATAAGCATTCATGGCATGTTTTTGTGTGGATGTAAGCTCTCAGTTTCTTTAAGTAGATACCCAAGAGTGCAATTGCTGGATTGTGCGGTAGGCGTATATTTAGTTTTTTAAGAAACAGCCAAATTGTCTTCCAAAGTGGCTATATCATTTTGCATTCCCACCAGCAATGAATGAGAGTTTCTGTTGCTCCACAACTTTGTCAGCATTTGGTGCAGTCAGTGTTCTAGATTTTGGCCCTTCTAATAAGTACGTAGTGGTATCTCATTTTAATTTGCATGGAATCTATAGTGATGTCACCTCTTTCTTCCGATACTATTAATTCCTAATTGTGCCAATGCTTGTTATTTTTTTCTTTTCCTCTTTCTCATAGCAACTAAGACAAGAGTGTGCAAGGGCAAATGATTTCTAAACTCAGATTCCCTTTTAATAAACCATGGTTATTCCCTGATTACGTTTTTGATAGAGTGCTTAGAAATTGAAATATTACATGGAAGTGTGATGGAGGTCATGAGGTAATGACCCTTAATATATATGAAAGCTTGGAGACTCACTGGGAGGGGGTGGTGTATTTTATTTTTTTAAGGCATTTATTTGTTTGGTTAATAAAATTATATAGGTTTCCCATGTACAATTCTATAATACCTCATCTGTATATTTTGTTGTTTGTTCACCACCGCACATCAAGTCTCCTTCCAATCACCATTTAAACTCCCTATACCCTCTTCACCTACCCCCAACCCTCTTTCCCTCTGGTAGTCACCATACTGTTGTCTGTGTCTATGAATTTGTTTCCCCTTAAGCCCTTCACCTTTATCACCCAGCTGTGCATACCTGGGGGAGGGGGGCGGGGGGGGGGTAAGACCAAATGAGGAAAAGACAGACCCATTTGCTTTACAAAGTTAATTAAAACAGTATGTGGCATACGGGGAAATATTAAAAATTATTCTGATGATAATTAGGATAGGTATCTCAGTAAGTATATGGCCTTTCAAGGACTAATTTTGAATGACATTTAGAATTGGTTTGGTTAGAAGTAACAGTATAATTATGAAGATACAGATTTTTTAAAGTAAGCAGCATATACATTAGACATATATAATAATGGAGTTATTCTTGAATTTGGTAATAAAAATATTTTTACCCTAGAACATAGTATTCAGGAATAAGAAACTAGAAAGCTTGAAAGCCATTCTAGAATTAAGTAAATGTGGAAAATGAGAAACCCAAGGTTTCACTGAACATTTTTCATTGAAGGCTGTTGACTCACCAAAAAAACAGGGTAACTTGTTTGCTGGTGAAATAAAGGCATTCTTTAACATATGTAGGAGATATTTTCTTCACGTTCTATGGTGTAGAAATGCATATACTATCAGCAGAAACTGGTAAGAAGAGACTTAAAGAATTTAAATAATATAATTTGGGAGGTATTACAGTCTATTTGTTTTAAAC